TATCTATCTATCTATCTATCTATCTATCTATCTATCTATCTATCTATCTCTTACAGTATCTACCTACCTACAGTACCTACCTATCTATAGTACCTACCTACCTACAGTACCTACCTATCTACAGTATATCTATATCTACCTACCTACAATACCTACCTACCTACCTACAGTACCCACTTACCTACCCACAGTACCTACCTACCTATCTACAGTATCTATCTTATCTATCTACAGTATCTACCCACCTACAGTATCTACCTACCTACCTACCTACCTATCGCTCTCTCCTTAAAGAAAACCCCCAAGAAATCCACGGCTCTCCTCCGCTCTCTCCCCAAAAAACAGGTTTGCATGGGAGGAGTAGAAAATCGTGGTTTTCCTTTGTCTTTCCTTTCTTTTCTTTTTTTTGCATTAAAGGACACCCCCCTCCCCAGGAAGCCCCCCCACCCGCCTAAGGAAGGGAAAAAAACAACAACCCCAAACTTTTGCTTGGGGTTGTGCGGGTTTTCCTCCCTTTGAACGACCCGCCCAGGAAGCCGGCTGGTTCTCGGCCCCCCCCCGCCCCCCCTCCAAACAGGAAAAGTTTTGCATTGGGGCGGGGGGGGGGGGAAGAGAAAAAGCGGCTGGAGCGACGTGGCTTTTCCTTGCACATCGGAGCTGGGGGGGGCGCGGGGGGGCTGCCTTCCTCTTCCAACGGGGGGGGCGGGGGGAGGGCTTGCAGGAAGCCAGCCGGGCTCGCTCCTCTCTAAGCAGCCCCGGGAAAGGCGGCCGTTTTGCAGTTTGCACCCGTCGGCGGGCACCGCCTCCAGCCGGCCTCTTCTCTTCTCTTTCTCGGCCATGGCGCGGCCGGAGCTCGCTTGGCTGGCCGGCTTCCTGCGCGATTGGCCCGGCCCTTTGGGCCCCGCCGAACCGCCGCCCTGGACCGCTTCCACCGCTTTGCTCCGGCCGGACGAAACGGAGGCCGAATTGACCGAACGGGCTCGCGGCTTCCTGGGCAGAAGGTGAGCCGGACACGCGTGGGGGGAAACACACTCCTCCTCCCCCCCCCACCGGCTGGCTGGCTGGCTGGTAGATTTCTTTGCAAGGGAAGCGCGTGGAAGGCCACGCGCGGGCGGGGCGGGGGGGGGGTGCAGGTTTGCATTGCGCGCGCTTTCCCTCCTCCCACGCGGGCGGGTGCAATTTTGTGGGGTTTTTCTTTTTTTTTGCATGGACACGCGTGGGAGGAGTTGGGGTGGCAAGCGTGAGTGGCTCGGCCGGCTAAGCACCACGCGGGTCCATGCAAAAACAAAAACAAAACAAAACAAAAAACCAACAAACCAACCCCCACAAAATTACACACACACCCCCCGCGTTGGCCTTGCAACGTGGGATGGGGGTGGTAGGGTATGTGGTTCGGCCGGCCTAGTCTCACGCGTGGGCCTTTCTTTTTTTGCAAAACGGGCCTGGGATTTTTGCTTCTTTCGGGTTGCTTTGACTAAGGGGGCAGCATGGGGGGTGGGTGGGAAAGGGAAGGAGGGACCGAATGGATTGGCTTTGGAGGTCGGGCTGGGTGGAACTTGGCAGGGGGGAATCGGCCCTGGTGTTGGGTTTGTAGGGGGTGGGGTGGTAGAAGAGGGTCTTTGTATTCAGGGTTGAATTGTGGGGTCTCTCTGAGCAGGGTGGTTTTCTTGCAGACGTTTTGTGACCCAACCAGGTAACATCGTCAGGTCTGAAGGGTGTGCAGAGAAGGGGAGGAAGGGGACTGTGGGGTCCCTGGTGCTCTCTGAGCTTGGTTATTTCCTTGTAGATGTTTCATTACCCAGCTAGGTAACATCATCAGTGCTAGAAGGGTGTGGAGTGTGCAGAGTGTAGGTGGAAGAGGAGGGGATTGTTAGGTCCTTGGTGCTCTCTGAACTTGTTTTCTTGCAGACCTTTCATTTCCCAACTAGGTAACATCATCAGTGCTAGCTTTGCATTCTTCACCTGGTACCTTGGTTCAAAAATCCAGAATCTCTGGTGTCAACTCAGGTGCTTCATGGAATAACCTAGGAGGAAAAAAGTCACCTAACCCAGGTTAATTCTAACCAGGCCGATCATTCTTATATACGGTTAGTCAGTTGTTAAGTGAGTCACACCTCATTTTATGACCTTTTGGGGTTGTGATCTACCTCCATCTTCCTTCCCAGCCTCTCTCTGGTTTGTTTTCAGTTGATCAAAATTATGGATGTTTAATTTTGAAGGATACAGTAGAGAATTGATGTATTTGATTATTAATGTTTTAACAGCAGCTAGAATTGTATTTGCTCAAAAATGGAAAAATAAAAAAATTCCGATAGAAGAGGAGGTGATAAAAAAATAATGGAATGTGCAGAGGTGAGTAGAGTGTCATTGGCAATTAGAGAACAAGAAGAAAAAGAATATTATAAAATATGGGATTTATTTTATCAATGGTTAGATAGAAAATAGAGAAATGAAGTATATTATAATATAAATATAACACAATAGTAAATATAATATAATGAAATGATATGCTATAATTGATTATTATGGAAGGAACTATAAAACAAATCAGGACTTGTAAAAGTTGAGATTTGCTCGAAAAGGATGGTGTGAATTTGCAATTAAAGTCTAATGATGATTTAATAATATGATATGGATAGCTGATCTACATAATATGAATTTTAATCTAAACTTAAGAAGGAAAGACGGAAAGAAGGAAGATAATGTGCACAAGAGATACGTACCAACCGATACACTGTACAATTGAAAGGTTTTATTTGTTGTTTCATGTTTGTTTGTTGTTCTTTAATAAAAAAAATATGGATGTTGTTATAACGGTGGTTACACTTTGGGCATTTATTTGAAATGGTATAGGGTTTCCTGCCTAAGCAGGGGGTTGGACTAGAAGACCTCCAAGGTCCCTTCCAACTCTGTTATTCTATTCTATTTACAATACTTCCTTACCCTTTGAAGACACAAGGGCCAGGATGAACCGGGGAAGATTTTGTAATTTCGCTTTATGCAATCTTCTTCCTTTTTTGAACTGGCTTGCCCTCAAACTGTCCTTTCATGAAAGGAAGTGTGGAAGTAAACAGAACAATGGTTAGACAAATACTTCTAAGCCAGAGCCCTTGAGGTCTGTTAAATAGCTTTTTAGTTTTATCTCAGGGGTTCTGCAAAGGCTAATCTTGAGGTTGATAAATCCAGAGTCATTGCTGGCTTTAATTCACTTGTGGACATTTAGTGAAAAGTGCAACTTAATCTGGCAAGTTGGATGCTGACTCTGATCTTACAGTACAGGTAATAATAATAATAACAGTAATTTGATAAGAAAGACAAAAAAATCTGGATAGTGGATGTGACAGTTCCTGGAGACAGCAGAATAGATGGGAAAGAACTGGAATTTTCTTGTCCTATTTGAATGGAGCTAGAAGCCAAAAGATATTGGACAAAAATACACACATGGCTGGAAAAAATGATAAAAAAAAATACAGATTTGAAACCTGAAATATTTTTATTAGGAATGCCACCTGAAGGTTACAGCAAAGAAAAAACATATTTAATCCTACATGTGTTAACAGCAGCTAGAATTGTATTTGCTCAGAACTGGAAAAATGGTAAGATACAGGTGGAGGGAAAAGTAATTGAGAAAATATTTGAATATGCAGAGAATTGAATAGATTAACATTGGTAATTAGAGAAAAAGAAGAAACGGAATATTATACGGTATGGGGTTTATTTTATCAATGGTTAGAAAATAAAACAAATTAAAGGACTTAGATGAATGGATGTATAAAGCACAAAGATAAGATTGTCAAAGAACAGATAGATAAAATGTATAAGAAAATGTGATTATTGATATATTGATAAAGAAAGTATTCATTATAATTGTGAGCACACGAAATATGTACCTAGGAGCCTGTTCTCAATGATGGATGACATGGCATATTTTTAACCTGATGTAACTGTAATTTTGGCAAGGTTTTTTATCCTTGAAACAGGAAAGATTTTGAGCTAGTCAAAGCATGCCTGGAATTTTCTTTGTCCTGTTTGAATGGAGAAACAACTCTTACCTTGCAAACATAGCCAGGGGCTATGTTATATTTCTCCAGTTTGGGAAATGAAATTTTAAAATAGAGTCCTCTATTTACAATCCTTTGTTTAGTCACCTTTCGATGAAAAAAAAGTGATTTACGACCCATTTTTTCACATTTAGGACCATTATTGCAGCCTCCCCAAGGTTTACAGCAAGGGTCTTCAAACATGGCAGCTTTAAGACTTGTGGACTTCAACTCCCAGAATTCCTGAGCTAACATGACTGGAGGAGGAATTCTGGGAGTTGAAGTCCACAAGTCTTAAAGCTGCCATGTTTGAAGAACCCTGGTTTATAGGATCAAAATTTGGACGCTTGGCAAACTGGACTGTACAGAGAGAGTCTTTGACTTACAACAGCTTATTTAGTGACTGTTTGAAGTTACAGCGTCACAGGGAAAAAAGTGACGTAGGACCGTTTTTCACACTTAACGATCGTTGCCGCATCCCCAGGGTCATGTGATTTACATTCGGAGGCTTGGCAACTGACTCACATTTATGACGGTTGCAGTGTCCCCGGGGTTCACCGTGATCCCCTTTTGCGACCTCCCAACAAGCAAAGTCAATGGGGAAGCCAGATTCGCTTCACGACCGTGTGACTCACTTAATAATGGCAAGTGATTTACTTAACAATGGTGGCAAGAAAGGTCATGAAATGGTGCAAAATTCACTTAACAAAGATCTCACTTAGCACCAGAGATTTTGGGCTCCATTGCGGTCATAAGTTGAGGATTGCCTGTATTTACGACGGTTGCAGTGTCCCGGGGTCATGTGATTCCCCCTTTTTTTGGACTGGGGGGTTGGACTAGATGACCTACAAGGTCCCATTCAACTCTGTTAATCTATCTAAGATGACCTTCTGACCAAGCAAAGTCAATGAGGAAGCCAGATTCACTGAACAACCGTGCTACTCATTGAACAACTGCAATGATTCGTTTAACAACACTGTGGTCAGATAGGTTGTAAAACGGGGCAAAACTCTGTTAGAAACTGCCCTACTCTTTTAGGCTCCATTGGGGTGTAACTCAAGGGCTGCCTGTGTAGGTTTTTAGCATTTTAATATATTTTAATTATTTTTCCATTTGTTGTACAATCCCTGCGCTGCCCAGGGTTGCAGCATAAAAATTAAACAAGGCTGAGTTTTTTCTTGGGTTTCAACAGTGAACAAATCATATCCCTTTAGTGCAATCTACAGCACAGAATATCACACCTGACGAGTGGTGCACAATGTGCTTATCGCGGATTTTTTAATTTTATCTTATCACGGGCCAGATTCTTGTGATATGCAAGGAAGCTACCTCTTCCCCACCTCAAAAAAGGCAATTGTATTATTAGAATCGCATACTTTTCTAAATGTAAATATGATGAATACTATTTTACTAGCATCAAATGTGACTAGAAAGGGGATTTTTTTAAAAAAAATATATATAACAGCGGCGTGATTAAAAATGAAGAAGGGGACAAACAATGTAAAATTACAATTTAATATAAATTGGTGAATTGTCATCAGAATTATATAATTCGTTAAGCATTGCAAATATTATTAATATATAATTAGTAATAAGAGGAGTGATGTTAAGACTATAGAGATTGATAAGAGTTAACAGGCTGTAACATTGAATAATCACGATTGATAATTTAACAAAATGTATGGATTAATATCGAATTTTAAAAGATTGTCAACGGTATTAAATATAAAGAATATTGTCATATTTGTACCAAAATGTAAGACACTCCGGAACCACACTGTTCACACAATGATATGTTTGTTGAAATAAAAAATAAAATAAAAATATTGCAAAAAAAAAGAAAAGAAAAGAAAAGGCAGGCTGCATTCTTAGACCGGCTATATCTGGTAGTAAATTTTGAAAGGAAAAAGGAAGTTGTTGTTTCCAGTTATTTGGGGGGGGGGGGGGGGGGGGGTTGATTGGTTGGTTGAGAAAGGGAGAAGAATAACAGGAAATTCCAAGAATTAGCTCAGCCCTGAAAATAACCTCCTTGCCTTGCAGAGGAAATAATAAAACCATTTCAAGCTGGGATTTGCAAGAAAGTTAGAAACTTGAATGGGTCGTTTGAAT